GGAGAAGACCACGTATGAGGGAGAAGACTAAGGAAGACATGGGACACGTGGCATGATCTGGACCTTTCAAGTGGAATTTCTCAACTGCTACTGGAAACCGCCAACTTTCCATTTGGGCAGTTCCAGAATGTGGGTAAAGGTTTGTAAGCATGCATTCAACCACCAAGACCACTATTTATCACTTATAAATTATGGGAGAATATGATTTTATACTTGTCAACATTGAGATAAAGTTAGAAGATCATGGGACACTTGGCAGTCTAAGGAAATGCCACGTGAAAGCTACCAACGCTGCCACACATTAGTTTACATGCATGGAGGAGCACTATAAATAGAACACTTAGAGCTATCTTGCAAATCCTGTTCAAATCACACAGCCAAACAACATTTCAATTTCTTTACATTCATGTAATGCACTTTAAGTATGTTTAATTCAAGTCCTGCACTTATTATTCCTACTTTCCAGCACCTTACTTTGAAGTCCTGCACTTTCAATACCGCTTTCCTTTCCACTAGCCATAGATCAGTCCAAAAGTCCTTTTTCAAGGCAAAAAGAACCTTTGGAGGTGTAGGATATTCAGATATAACAAGATTCACCTTCTATGTGTATGGTGCTGTGTGTTTAGCACCTTGTGTTCATGTCAACTATAATATATATCTGGCCTACAAAAATAAATATGTTAAACTAGTAACAAAATTGATCCCAAAAAAATAAAATAATTAACTTACAAAATAGCACAAAACATAGAATAGTTATTTTTCTAACCAAATATCATGAAGAAAAAAAAAAAAAAATTTGAGATTACCGTATAAATTTAATCTTGCATCAATATTTCAAATTTTAATTGAGATTAACAATAAAAATAAATAAAAAACACAACCACAAAAGAACCAAAACATAACTCAATAATGTTAAATACGAACTTAGATAACATACATAAAACATTAACAGTGACCAGATTCAATTGCACAAATTATCGGGGGAGATCCACCCAAAACGGGTGTATGTGTGTGTGTGAGAGAGAGAGAGAGAAATTACCTCAAACCCTAGATTCGTCCTTGAATTCAATTGTGAAGGAGAGAGAGATATAACCTAGGTTTGGCTTCATTCACACCAAATAGAATCGGTCATCAGAGAGAAACAAAGTGGAGAAGACCTCCATGTTCGCTGATGTTGTGTGCCGAGATGTGTGGCCTGCCTTGACCTGTTACAGAGAGGGGGAGAGAGAGAGAGAGCATTTGAGCTTCATGAAGTGAGGGTTAGGGCAGAGAGAGAGAGAGCATTTGAGCTTCATGAAGTGAGGGTTAGGGCAGAGAGAGAGAACACTTGAGCTTCACGAGGCCGGCACGAATGGAATGTAAAAAGAGGCGTTAGGGCTTGAAAATAGATAGAGGGGTTTGTTAATCGCTGCTGTTTACAGAGAAGGGGGGATAGATAGGCCGGCATGAATGGAATGTGAAAAGAGGAATTAGGGCTTGAAAATAGGTAAGTGTACAAAAGGGTATTTTAGGCAACACATAAAATAGGAAGAAGGGTATATTAGGCAACAGAAATATGAAACAGTATTTTTTCATCACCTCAGCTTTTGGGTCAAACACATTTTAGAGAAACTTTGGGACTTTGACTCAGCCTCTAAGTAAATATGGTGCCCTAACCCCATTTATATGTAATAATCCCTTGTTTTTTTTCAGAGGTGCGTGTTTGGTATATATGTTTTTTTCGGAGAATCGGTATATATGTTGATAACAAGAAGATTTGCCAAAACCAATCCCTCCCTCCCACCTTTTTTTGTTGTAGAGAATGATGCATATTTCTATAAATTTAAAATTACTTTCCACCTAGATGATCCTTTAAAAAGAATTTAATAATAATAATATTGGTAATGTAAGTTAGTATAACCAACTGCCAAAATCAAGAGGTCAAACCTCCATAATGATGTGTATCAACTAAAAAAAAAAAAAAAAAAACTCAATATATTAATAAAAGATATACTGAGTATATGCCATGGGTGGAGCCAGCATAGGCCGAGGGGGACCATGCCTCCCTGGGCCCATGTTGGCCAATTAATTTTAATTACTAAATGGCCTATAATTTATAAAAGTATTTAAAATGTTTCCCATGAAATTTTTTTTTTTTTAAGAAAATGGCCATTAATTTTTATTACCCAAAGGCCAATAATTTATAAAAAATTGAAAAATACCCCCTGAAATAATTATTTACCCTTGGGCCTATTAGTTTTTATTGCAAATAGGCCTATAATTTATAAAATTTTACAAAAATACCCACAAAAATAATTATTTTTAAAAAATATCTTTAATTTTTCCTTTCTTTTCATTCTTACTCCTCCTCCTCCTCCTCCTCCTCCTCCTCTTCCTCTTCTTCTTCTTCTTCTTTATATTCTTTTTTAAAAAAAGTTGCATTTCTTTATTCAAACTATTTTTTTTTCTCTCTTCAATCGTCTGATCCCTACAATGTCCTACTGGATAGTTGCTCGAATATCCACTTTGGAACGACAGTAATTCCTGGCACGCCAGACATTCACCCTCCTTTCCGCACTTGGAAAGGACCTCGGTTTTTAGGAGCCGAACAATTCCTATCCTAATTCAACCGTCCAATCAAACCAATAACCGAATCAATTTTCAAAATAGGATATCATTTTTCCACAAGTAAGCCCAAACACATACACACGTACACACATTTCGAGATCGTATAAGTTTTCAACATCATTTCTTCCCAAATGAATGAATAATCGTTGTCCAACAATGCGTCTACTGATAATACAATGTCTGCAATTTTAAAAGACTTTCCCTCCTTACCCAACAACAACAACAACAACAACAACAACAACAACAACAATAATTATAAATAAATAAATAAAAATGTCTTCCTTCCCTCATCCTTGGCTTCAATTTTTCCTCCTCCTAGCAACAATTGGTGATTCCATATGGCACTCCTCAAAATACCAATTTTACCACATTGAGCATGGTAAATTACTAAATTTACCCTTATATGCATCCTCGTCTCTTCATTTTTTATTTATTTATTTTTTTGTTTGAGATTCAGCAGCCTTAATAAGTGACTGTTACTTGATGTAAAGGTAAAAATTTAGATTAACAAGTATGAAAAATGCTTGAGTTTAATGCAGACACTCTGAATCTATATATATATATATATGTTCTTTATAAACCTTGATGAACCATCCCAAGACCCACTAGTTAAAAAATAAATGAAATGAATTAATATAATTATATTTATAGTTGGAACTCATTGCCGATTTACCTCATGGTTGTCGGTCCAAATTTATACCATTCTACCAACAAATGTCATCCTGTGAGTGTAACCCCTCTGACCTTCACCATCTACAAACTAACCAGGCCCAAACTCTCCAAGCCCAAATTCTACACCTTGCAGGTCTCTAAAACAAATACAACCTGGACCTTCACCATCTGCAAAATAACTAGGCCCAAAATCTCCAAGCCCAAACTCTATCATCACCATATTGTAAAAAATAAATACTCAAAACCATGGACAATCAATCACATACTCAAAATCAAATTGCCAAAAAAAAAAAAAAAAGGTGCATTATCACTATTTTCCCCTTCTTTTTCCACCATAAAGATGGATTGCATTTAATTTTAAGTGTTTATATTACTGATTACTCTCATGATTCAAGTAATTAATATTTAGGTGGAAAAAAGTAACTAATCAAATATGCTTAAGATTTGAAAATAACGAAATAAACTTTTTCACCATATGCACTGAATTTAATTGGACTTAATGTTTGTCATGTTGGAATTTAGGTCGAAGATTCCAAATAATGAGGAATATCAAGAATTCAAGATGAACTATGTCCCAATACTCATGAATAGCAAGAGTTTCACCAATTCTCATAAATAGCAAGAGTTTCACCCCTATCATTCACCACACAACATCCAACCTGAGGCTCCTGCGGATGATGTCTGGGATTTCTTTTCACTCTGGAGGAGGTCGGGGTTTTCTTTTGTATTACGCTTGGTTTGATAGGAGGGATGGAAATATGGATGGAAGGGAGAGGGGGAGGTGACGGCTCAGGAGGGAGGGATAGATGAGGTATTATCGGCGTCAAGTTTTGATTTAACACTTCGAGTGTATTATTGTGAAGCTTTGGCCACATTGGGTCATCATGTCACGTGGTTGATATTGTACCTACAAAAGGTTTAAAGATTTAATATAAAAATAATTTTATGTTTTCTAAAATAAGAAAAACAAAATACGGAGTACTATCTAAAAATTTATGTTCTACCACTAATTTAAAAAGCACATAATTCTAAAAATATTTTGTAATTTTCTTCAAAATTCTTGAAATCCATTGAAGATAACGAACCAAAATTGTTAATTTCATTAATTTATCATTTACTTCTTTTTGCATTTATATAATCCTCTAAACTTGAATTATCTTTGTGGTAAAATATTAAGGTAATCTCAATGGCCCTACTAACATGTACCTATGTGTTATTTAACCCTGTGACACTATGCATTGTAAAGAATCCTGATAAATAAGTTTATCTTACAAATTAACTTAAAATTGTACACAACTTTATATAAACTTACCTTACAAATTAAATAAGTTGTACATAATATTATACCTTGAACAATGAAGAACGATCTTGATAAACACTTCAAGTGATCTCCACTCTTCACCTCTGAACATGGAATAAAATCCTAATTTGTGGACAAGCAAGTGTGAATTCAAAGTACTCCACAAGATAAAAGAAGTGATATGAGATGTCATATTCCTATAATTTTCTATGAGATGTCATATTCTTATATTAATTACTTACTCCGTCCAATGGCATGTATTCTTGCGTGCATCCCATCCCATAAATTCCATACCTCATGACTTGAATGTGCATGCATATACATATATATATATATATATATATATATATATATAACTATATATCTATCTATTACACCAAAAAGTTTATTATTACAATCCAATAAAAAAATAATAATAATATATCCTTCTGTCGGGTTTAACCACGACCGCTATATATACACACACTCTCACTTCACACAGAATCTTACCTCTCTCTCTCCTCTTTCTCTCTCTAGACTCGCGATGGTGGTGGTGGAAACTCTTCGACTCGGAATGCGCCACGGCGGTGAGAACTGTAAGCCGCCGCCGGCGGAGCCGCACTACAGGGGCGTACGGAAGAGGCCGTGGGGGCGGTACGCGGCGGAGATACGAGACCCCATGAAGAAGGCCAGGAAGTGGCTCGGCACCTTCGACACCGCCGAGGAGGCCGCCCTGGCCTACGACAACGCCGCCCGGAGCCTCCGTGGCCCCAAGGCCAAGACCAACTTCGCCGTCGCGGCCGCCGCGCCGCCGTATCCTTACGGCGGCGGGATCTTGAATCAGCTGCAGCGCTGGTGCACGGTTTACGCTGCACCGGCGGGATGGAACCTGAGGTTTCCCGCTAGTTCCGGAGCTCCGGCGATGCAGGGTTTTCCGCCTTTTGGGTACGACGTCGTTGGGATGGTGAGGAGGGGCGAGGAAGAGAAGGGCCAAGAGGAGGAAAGAAAGGAGGATAAAAAGCCGCTACCGTTTGATCTGAATTTGCCGGCACCGCTCTACTAATCAGACGGCTCTGATTTGATGAAAATGGTCTGTGATCATAGGGGCTGGACAACTAATTTTCTCTTTCCATTTTTGCCCTCTAATTTTATTTTGTTTTTTTGTTTTTTTGTTTTTACTGGCAAGTATTTGCCATCTAGTGTTTAATATGTTATATATATATATAATTTCTAGATTTATGCTTTGCTTTTGTGTATATATACTTCTTGTTGATGGCAACTTTGGACGGTGTTATTAGATATCGATGTTTGAATCGAGCGGCCCAATCTTTGCTTCATTTATGTCCTATTTTGCTGTTTTTGACTCGTTGAAACGGACGTCCAAGTCCAACCGCGTAAAATGTATTGGATATTGGAAATAAGATAAATTTTTTTTTTTTTTTTTCAAGGAAATAAGATAATGAACATTGAATAGTTAGTACTATGAAGTTTACTTGAAGTTTATACAAAACACCCAATATGATCTTATTTTTAATTAACATTACAGTAATATTTCATCAAACCAATAGAAGGTAAAATTTTATTATTAAAAGAATAATAATAATAATAAATATTGTACCCAAATTAGACATTTGGTCCACCTAGCATGATGTTACGAAGAGTGGGATTTAGTTCAGTAGAAAGGTGAAAGAGGCATGACCAAAGATAGTAATGAAATAGAATTTTTCAATAAACAACAATGACTTTGGGGTGTATAAAAGAATCAAGGGTCACACGCACCTGATGATTAGCAATGGGTAAAGTCACCTACTTCTACCTCATAAACAAATAGTCTTATCGAACGAAACGAATGACTTTAACAAAACAACACTAGAGTGTTTGCACCAATCTTATTGAGCGAAGTGACCTTAACGAAGCAACACTCAAGTGTCTCCACTAGGATAAAGTATTCCCAACCGATCGCATTGGTTGCAAGCAAACCTAAAAGGTCACATTTGCGCCAATCCAATGGTGACGTATGCCTTGCGGAGATAACCTTTACAATGAAATCATTTTGGCCATCCACACAGCACACACATTTAACCGTGGACCAAGGATTTCAAACACTATACGTAGAAAGTCCTACACCAACACAACTATTTTTCGTATGCTATACTTAGCTTTACACTCTTTTGTAACTTAACTTTGCACTTCAATACATCTACATGTTTTCTATGTGTAGCTTGTTATCCTAGGTTTGCCCTATTTTACCTTTACTCGCTTTCATAATGTAGCTTACACTTCTTCACTTAGGTTTACATTTCAAGCTTATAATAGGTAATCAATGGCTCAACTAGTGAATCCTTTAGAATGTAACTAAATCTTTCTGCATTGTACCGTCTAAGAACTCGCGATTCATCCTCGTTGAAGTGTCCAAAGTTAATGAAGAGAAGATTATATTTTTTAAAAAGATATTTGTTGTTTGCTTGTGCTTCACATTTGTAACTCTCTTCTAACACATTTTAGGCTTAGCATAACTCTTTCGCGCCAAAGTGATACGGACCTAAAGAAAGAGTCTTTAATGTTCCTCAATTGCTAAGTGAGATTACACACGAGTGCACACATTCTAACGGTTGCAACAACTATAAAACAATTAAAAATATTTTTGGATTCCCTATGGCCGCAAATACAAATCTACGATCCGGGCACACCCGTGCACTGAAAAATTACAAGCATAGCCCTAAAGGCACACTTGAAGAAAAAATTGCCACAATTGACCTCTAATTTTCTATATATGGCGAGTTTCAAATAAAATTTATTTGTCTATCTCGTAACATCATCATGACACCAATCCTCTAACAAAACCTTGATTTCCCGACAATTAGGTAACCGCTTGAAATAGAAGCTCTAAAGTCGTTATTCCCCCAAAAAGAGAAAAAATAAGAAGAAGAAACAAAGAAAAAAAAAAAGTCAATATGATCTTATTTCAATTAAAAATTTGCAATGATCTTTTTATTAAACCAATAGATGATAAAAGTATATTAAAATAAAAATAATAATATTGTTACCACTGACCTCTAATTTTATAAATATGGCAAGATTCAAATATAATTAATGAGGGTTACAAGAATTAGAGAGTTAATGTTTTTTTTTTTTTTTTTTTCAATAATCTCAATATCATATCTCAAAGATATATGATGATTTAGGTCTTAGTGATTGTTAGTCAATCATTCATTTAATTTGACTGGACGCTATATAGATTTTAGAAGATCATTTTGACCCATGCTTAAAAAATTAATAACATCTGTGATAATATGTAGGGATGGCAATTTGTTCTGCAGGGACAGGTATCCGCCCTACCTCGTTTCGTTTATAGTAGTTTTAGAGATTGTTTAATTTATTTGGACGGTGATGATTTTTATTAATGAAAACCTACGCAGGTTCGAGGTAGGGAGGTCACCCCACCCCGCCTCGCCCCGTTTAGACAAGTAAATTACTAAATTACCCTTATTTTATTAATATATATAGTTAGCTCTAGAAACCTTAAGTCATATTCACTCACTTTTTCAACCGTTCTAGTGAGCGGTAGAGCCCTACAAACTAAGAACGCTCATACCATTGAATTTTATGTTAAATTATTGATTACCCATTTTTTATGATTTTTTTCAATAGTTATATAATTGTATTTAAGGAAAAAAAAATTAAAAAAGAGGAGAAATTTTGGAACTAAACGGGACGAGGCGGGTGCCCACGAGGGTAAAAAAGTTAAATAGGACGGAAATGGGATAGAAATGTCCCCCGTTTAAGTGTTTTGGGTAGGAACGGGACGAAAGTTTCTAAACGATTGAAGAAGCAAGAGAGGGCACACCCGCCCAAAATTGCCCTTGTTGCCATCCCTTGTGAATAATATTGGTCTTGAGCAAATTAGTTTTTAAAATCTAGCCGATGATTACAACTAGGGATGGCAATGGGGCGGTTTGGGGTGGGTTTTCCATTCCTCATCCCCACCCCCGTTTAATTTTGGTACCCCCAAAATCACTCCATAACCGATTAATTTTTTCCTTCTAATCCCCATAACCGCCCCCGCCCCATAACCGATGAGGGCAAATCATTGTAGCCTCCCCAATCGCCTCCATCTCTATTCTCGTTCTCAACTCTGAACTTGCCCTCTCTCTCTCTCTCTGCAACTGCAAATATATTTCAGCCTCCCCAATCGCCTCCATCTCTATTCTCGTTCTCAATTCTGAACTTGCCCCCCCCCCCCCCCCCCCCTCTCTCTCTACAACTGCAAACTACAAAATCTACAAGAATCAGAAGATCAAAACCCATATATTTCAGTTTATCTATCTGGTTGTTGTTTTCGTCAGATTGTCACGACTGCCACCTCATTATCAGAATATAGAGTTTGAAAGGAAAATCTGAAAGTGAAGTCTAGGGTTTACAATATATATATATATAGTGAAGGTTAATTTGATAAATATATTAATTTAACATATTAATCGAGGGCGGTTTCGGGGCGGGGATCTGAGTCCCTCGTCCCTACCCCAAAACTGGTCGGTTTTTTTTTTAAACCCCTATCCCCACCCCATTTAAGTAAACAGTTCTCCAAACCCGCTTTAAATGGGACGGGGGCAGGGCGATTCCCTGTCGGGTTGGGGATTTTTGCCACCCCTAATTACAACCCAAACGAGGTGTTGTAGGTAGCAACGAAATTAAATGCTCCCTCCAACAATTTTTATTTTTATTTTTTTTGTCTTTTTTTCAATTTTGTCTATATCAAAATCCACTGTAACATTTAAAAAGTCAATGTTCTTAAAATATTCTTGTAACTTTTGAAATTTTGTTCCAACTCAAAGCATAAATTTTTAAAGTTTAAATCCATAGTTTTTTAGAATTTTATGAGAGAATAATGCATTAAATGTGTCCCATTAAAGAGTTGGATTCTCTAAAAAGAATAAATAGTAAAAAAAAAATGCAAAATTTTAAGGTCAGATTGTGAGAGAGTTGCTATAAAACTCTTAAATTAAACACAAGAAATATTTGCTTTGAAATCTCATTAAGTAGGGATGAATTCGTTAAAATTCTCTCTCTATTATTCCACCATTATACTTTATCCCAAAATTTATCATATTTAACAAAGAGTTATGCAATATAGCCGTATAAGTCCAACATTTCAATCTAAACGATGGATTTATCACATGGCTGTCATGAGAATGCAAGAGAAAGGAATCTCTACGGGTAAAGTTTGTTTGGTTGAGCGTTACGATTGAAATGATTTGCTAATAGTTATTTTTCTTTAACAAATGGACAATTTTAGATGGATATGGCCATTTTCACTAAATTTAGTGTAGAAATTTAAAAACAAAAAATTTTTTAAAAAAATGTCTATCAAGAATGGTGTATTATTAATCACCACTCTTAATGCAAGACTAATATTAATTTCAAATAAGGGGAAAAAAAAAAATCTTAATTTCAAATAAAAAAAGTGAAAAGATGACCTGAAATAAATGGGAAAAAGTGGGGAAGAGGTGATAAAGCGCCGTACAAAGGCAAAAATGTGAGTAGTAGTAGTACCAGAAAAGGACTGCAGGTAGAGGCAGGGTGGTCATTAGTGGGTAGTGGGCCCCAATAAAAAAGAAGCTGACATTTCGGCGCCCGCCAGCCGTAACATTGTTTCGGCTTAGCCCGCGTTCATTGACGGCTTTTTTTAATACTACTACTACTTCTTTCTCTTCTTTTCTGATCACGCGCACATATTTCAAACGTTCCCTTGTTTGCTTACACCTTAGTTGATTACCAACAGGTGTTTGCGTTTAATTGGATCGTGTTTAGCACGCGATGTTGAGTCGTATGGAATTCCGTTTTACCTGCGTTGCATGGGTCGATGTGAAATATTTTATTTTTTAAACCGGAGCGTGAATGTACGAACTCTTAGGACCCCTCAATAACCAAATTAATCTCTGAGAATTTAGAATGACACATTTTCACCCGGCCAGACTAAGTCACTGCAAGAACAGTAAAAGATAGTCACAAAAAATATTCAGTAGAATTCGAACTCCAAATCTTGAACGTGCTAACCTCTAAAGTCTAGTGAGTAAATCCGGCGATATCCCATGTGGATCATGTGAGATGTTTTTGCTATCATGTAAGGCAATGGTAAATGGTGGTAGTAATTTCACAACTCACTTTACAGTTGTACATCTTTTTTTTCATATTTATATACTTTGCTTAACCTTTATTGAAAAAAAAAAAAAAAAAATTTATAGTTGTAAAAATGAGGTCATGGTAATTTTACTTTTGATTGAACACAATAATTCAATACAAAAAATTTATAGATTGAAACAACATTATTTCAGTGAAAATTTTGCTCCGCATAAGAGAAGATCCTGATTTGTTTATCAAATAATAAAGGTTATGAAAAAAATCTTAATCATAGATTCTTATTACTATATCTTTTTTCAAATATATATAAATAAATAAATAATTCAAAGAACACTTATAATAAGTTAATAAAAAGAATTTAAAACTTGTCATGAAAGAGTGCTTATAGCACCTTTTCAATCAAATTTATTCCTAAATCCAATCATTTGTCTTTTTTCTTTTATAATGTTTTAGGAGACTTGAATTCTCCCTCTATCTTTGAAAGAAGAGGACAAGAGTATAGGTTGTCTTAACCAAACTAAGTCAAATGGTTCCATAATGATTTTGAACTTTTCATTTTTACAAATTTACTAAATTTAAATTTTTTTTTTTTTTAATAATAACCAGGTATATTCCAAATCAAGCCTCAGAACATCTCCAATGCAAAATATATATTTTTTTTTATACTAAAGTTATATTTTGAGAAGAATTACAATGTTAAAATGTTATATTTTAGCAATTCTGCTCTAATAATACATTTCATTTTAAATACTATTTGAAGTGTATTATTTTAATCTACCTGCTATATTTTGAAAAACGATACCGTATGGCAATACTTTTGACAATCTCAAAATATGAGAGGCCTTTTGAGAGCTTATTGGAGTGTATTATTTTCATCCACCTGTTATATTTTGACTTTGAGAGAGCATTGGAGATGCTCTTAGCAATTAAAAAATATAGTTGCAACTTAGCCAATAAGACAATGGTAGTTTTATTATATGCTAGAGTGAATTTTCATATCGTAAAACAACTGCCAGTTAGCAAGGTAGAAAAGGTCAGTTCGTAAGGTAGTCAAGGTTCACTCTTAGTAAGTTCTGTGATTAGTGTAATTGACAATGGACTAATGTTACAAATGGATATTTATCCCACATCGGATCTGGACGGGAGAGTGATTGGGTATAAATGAGTGGGTATGCAGTATTACCTAACAATTTGAGTTTTTGAGTAAATGAGGAAGGACCTACCCGTTACAGTTAGTATCAACGTCATACTCAGTCCTTTATCCAGTGTCATGCCAAGTATCCGGCTCGAAAGGCGTTCGAATGAGCCACCCTGAGTAGGCAGAGTGATTCGACAGTAACAAGGGTGTTGCGAGTACGAATAAAAAAGAATGTCACAAGGCAGAGAACCATTCAATTCCGCATATATATTTGTGCTGAATTTGGGATTAAAAATAATAATAATTATTCTTATTAAAAAAAAACGAAACCTAATAAATATAGATGGTGTTGAGGAACCCTATCCACTCAGGTACCTGGAAGGGTCGGTAGTAACCCTATGTTTCATTAAATAGGACATATTTTGAGAGGGCAAAAAAAGTAGTCCCAGTCGGAAATTTACCGACAGCTTGCTTAGTATCAGTCAAATGGCGTGCTATTCATTTGTTTCAAGGGAGGTAGGTGGCTCTCACGCGCTACAATCGATGTTGAGGTGCCCCAACCCTCTTGTACTACACGCTCACAGGCCATTGTACCCTACAATTTGCAGGGCTCGATCTGTGAACGTCCACATATATATATATATATATATATATACACTTACACATATACTTAGTATGTAATATGTATACATAAGATACTACTATGTTATAACAACTCCAACACGCCAATGCATGTTTGACTGTGCACGTGTGAGGCTGTTTCTGGACGTGTCTCCGTCTAGGCCGAGCGGAAATCTGCTAAGGGACCCACATATCACGTGGGGATCTGTTTTAGTGTTGTCAGTTCTCAGTATATATATATATATGTTTGTGTGTGTGTGCGCGCGCGCACTTTTCATGTAATGTGCATGTATGTAGTGTATGTGCATGCATTCGTGTATCATACAAATGACATGCCATCCGATGTCATGCCATGTCTCACAAGCTAACATTTCCACCATGGTATTCTAGGGTTTACTAATTTCATAAAAACCTCAACAAACCAAATTGATTTTAACGGTTTCATAACTATTGAAAACAATTTTAACTATGTTTATCACAAATACAATTTTACTTTTTTTTTTTTTTTTTTAGAGCATGTATTAACCCATAACACACGCACTATTCAAGTTAGGAATGTGATTCGAAAACAAGATTTTAAGGACTTACCTCTTAGAGCGTGTATTGATCCTGCCATTCAAGTCAAGAATGTAATTCCAAAGCGAAACCTCTAGAACTTACCTCCCGAATCCCTACATCAATTAATGCCCATGGGGGCTTTTTTTTGTCTATTAAATAGTGCTATTTCTAGTTTTTTAAATAATCTAGTGACTAAAAATAATGTAATATGCTAAGAAGGATATAATATAGTTTTACTAATAATTTTTTGTAAATAAGTTTAAGGTTTGAGAAGGTAAAAACACAGGCTCCGTTTGTTTGGATATAAAATATTTTTCAAAAAATATTTTTTTATTTTCTGATGTTTGGTTGTCGTAACATATTACGAGAGAAAAAAAAAAAAAAAAAAAAAAAAAAAAAAAAAAATTACAATATAAGAAAAATAACTTACCCATCAATTTTAGACAAGTTATATACGTCCCGCCCGATGGGCTCGACTTGAACCTTAACCAACACTTTTGTCAAACACTTAAAAAGCAAAAATAAATAAAATATTATACCTGAAAAAAAAAAATTAAAAAAATATTTTACATCGAAACAAACAAAACACGTCACAACAAAGTTCCTATCAAGTGAAGAAGGTTTGAAAAAGTGCAAATACCTCAATTTACAGATTTGGAACAAAATGGCATATTCTTTACAGCAAAAACAAAATGAAAACGACATCAATTTTTGGTTTGACAATTAGTGTTTACTTGCCCGCATCAAGAATCGGAAGAGTTTTTGGTTTGACAATTGGCGTTTACTTGCCCATCAAGAATCGGAAGAGTCATCGGGTGATAGTTGTTCTCTCTACCATTTGGAATTTATCCAAACCCTCTTGAGTTTCAGTGTCAAACTTTAGGGAAGGGTCCCTTGATCTCAGCATTTCCTCTAATGAGCGCCACGGGATTCAGTCCCAGAGCCACAGAGTCCAGAACTTCAATCCCATACATCTCCGCCTTGCCCTTCCCCATACAGAGTGGACCAAAAGTTAGCGCCACAAAATCCCTCCAAACCTGTTCTAGCTAGACACAGCGAAACAGAGAGATCTCGGAGAGAGATTGTGTTTGTTGATGGGCAGTGCTGGAGGAATATTTTTTCGTAACGAGGAACTCTTATAATATACTAGATAATTTCAGATATGTGCAATCATCTGCAAACCGACTTCCCATATTAACCCCCTTTTCAACTGTGAGTTGCATGTAACAGAAGTTAGCCATTTGCTACTTCTATGTGTATCTTATATACAAAACTCATAATCAAAGGACCAAATGGCCCAGCAATATCACTCCTTCCTCCCCAAAGAGGAGGTCGGGGGTTCGAACCTCGGTGGAGGTAAGGTGTGTGCGTTGCTTTAACTTCCAAAAAAATATATGCAAAACTCATAGCTTAGATATTTTTGCACAATATTTACATTACAAAGGATTGTTGCATTATATGTTCTTATTCAACTAAACAAAATTCCAGCTCCTAATAAAAACCAGCGCAACCCAAAAAAGTCATGGTCGCCAAAATATGCTTAAAAGCTCATCAACCATCTCAAGCAAAATTAGATATCTTTTCAGAAACTAGCACTTTTTTCTCAAATTATAACGAAACAAATCCATTATCTAATCAAATTTTATGAAGAAAATATTTATTCCTCAAGAAAGGTAAAAAATAATATGCTAAAAGACTCGTGAAATGATTTCACTTTAGAGGAATGAACCTGGATGAGAGGGTGGCACCAAATACCAGGCCATCCATGCTTCACTGCCTTGTACGAGATGGATAATTCAGCCAGATAATGATTTATCATTTCAGGTTTGATTTCAATCTGGTTGAAGATCTTCCCTTTGTAAACTCCGATGATGCTTCCAATCATCTCAGGCACTATTATCACGTTTCGAAGGTGGGTTTTTAACCTGCTCTGGCTTCTCAACGGGTGGTGACACCCTTTTCTGGTCCAAATCACAAGATTAATATCATAAATAAATACCAGCACACAATATTTTCTTATTTGATAAAAATCCACTGGATTAAACAAAGCAAAAATAAAAAAAGACTAATCCCCTTGAAGGATTTAACTTTGCAGCGTTTAGTACAATTGAAGTTAAAAAAAATAATAGATGACAAGCAATTAATGAAGAAGTTACAGTTTGACATAATTCTGCTTGCTTAAAATAGAAAATCTTACCGCCAAGGGCTTAAGCCCATGTGGTACCATCTCTTCCTTCCAAATGGAAGGTTGAGGGTCCAAGTCCATTATCTAATCAAATTTTACAAAGAAAATATTTATTCCTCAAGAAAGGTAAAAAATAATATGCTAAAAGACTCGTGAAATGATTTCACTTTAGAGGAATGAACCTGGGTGAGAGGGTGGCACCAAATACCAGGCCATCCATGCTTCACTGCCTTATACGAGATGGAGAATTCAGCCGGATAATGATTTATCATTTCAGGCTTGATTTCAATCTGGTTGAAGATCTTCCCATTGTAAACTCCGATGATGCTTCCAATCATCTCAGGCACTATTATCACGTTTCGAAGGTGGGTTTTTAACCTGCTCTGGCTTCTCAACGGGTGGTGACACCCTTTTCTGGTCCAAATCACAAGATTAATATCATAAATAAATACCAGCACACAATATTTTCTTATTTGACAAAAATCCACTGGATTAAACAAAGCAAAAATAAAAAAAAAGACTAATCCCCTTGAAGGATTTAACTTTGCAGCGTTTAGTACAATTGAAGTCAAAAAAAATAATAGATGACAAGCATTTAATGAAGAAGTTACGGTTTGACATAATACTGCTTACTTAAAATAGAAAATCTTACCGCCAAGGGCTTAAGCCCATGTGGTACCATCTCTTCCTTCCAAATGGAAGGTTGAGGGTCCAAGTCCATTATCTAATCAAATTTTACAAAGAAAATATTTATTCCTCAAGAAAGGTAAAAAATAGTATGCTAAAAGACTCGTGAAATGATTTCACTTTAGAGGAATGAACCTGGGTGAGAGGGTGGCACCAAATACCAGGCCATCCATGCTTCACTGCCTTATACGAGATGGAGAATTCAGCCGGATAATGATTTATCATTTCAGGCTTGATTTCAATCTGGTTGAAGATCTTCCCATTGTAAACTCCGATGATACTTCCAATCATCTCAGGCACTATTATCACGTTTCGAAGGTGGGTTTTTAACCTGCTCTGGCTTCTCAACGGGTGGTGACACCCTTTTCTGGTCCAAATCACAAGATTAATATCATAAATAAATACCAGCACACAATATTTTCTTATTTGACAAAAATCCACTGGATTAAACATAGCAAAAATAAAAAAAAAAAGACTAATCCCCTTGAAGGATTTAACTTTGCAGCGTTTAGTACAATTGAAGTTAAAAAAAATAATAGATGACAAGCAATTAATGAAGAAGTTACGGTTTGACATAATTCTGCTTACTTAAAATAGAAAATCTTACCGCCAAGGGCTTAAGCCCATGTGGTACCATCTCTTCCTTCCAAATGGAAGGTTGAGGGTCCAAGTCCATTATCTAATCAAATTTTACAAAGAAAATATTTATTCCCCAAGAAAGGTAAAAAATAATATGCTAAAAGACTCGTGAAATGATTTCACTTTAGAGGAATGAACCTGGGTGAGAGGGTGGCACCAAATACCAGGCCATCCATGCTTCACTGCCTTATACGAGATGGAGAATTCAGCCGGATAATGATTTATTATATCAGGCTTGATTTCAATCTGGTTGAAGATCTTCCCATTGTAAACTCCGATGATGCTTCCAATCATCTCAGGCACTATTATCATGTTTCGAAGGTGGGTTTTTAACCTGCTCTGGCTTCTCAACGGGTGGTGACACCCTTTTCTGGTCCAAATCACAAGATTAATATCATAAATAAATACCAGCACACAATATTTTCTTATTTGACAAAAATCCACTGGATTAAACAAAGCAAAAATAAAAAAAAAAAGACTAATCCCCTTGAAGGATTTAACTTTGCAGCGTTTAGTACAATTGAAGTTAAAAAAAATAATAGATGACAAGCAATTAATGAAGAAGTTACGGTTTGACATAATTCTGCTTACTTAAAATAGAAAATCTTGCCGCCAAGGGCTTAAGCCCATGTGGTACCATCTCTTCCTTCCAAATGGAAGGTTGAGGGTCCAAGTCCATTATCTAATCAAAGACTCGTGAAATGATTTCACTTTAGAGGAATGAACCTGGATGAGAGGGTGGCACCAAATACCAGGCCATCCATGCTTCACTGCCTCGTACGAGATGGATAATTCAGCCGGATAGTGATTTATCATTTCAGGCTTGATTTCAATCTGGTTGAAGATCTTCCCTTTGTAAACTCCGATGATGCTTCCAATCATCTCAGGCACTATTATCACGTTTCGAAGGTGGGTTTTTAACCTGCTCTGGCTTCTCAACTGGTGGTGACACCCTTTTCTGGTCCAAATCACAAGATTAATATCATAAATAAATACCAGCACACAATATTTTCTTATTTGACAAAAATCCACTGGATTAAACAAAGCAAAAATAAAAAAAAGACTAATCCCCTTGAAGGATTTAACTTTGCAGCGTTTAGTAAAATTGATGTTAAAAAAAATAATAGATGACAAGCAATTAATGAAGAAGTTACGGTTTGACATAATTCTGCTTACTTAAAATAGAAAATCTTACCGCCAAGGGCTTAAGCCCATGTGGTACCATCTCTTCCTTCCAAATGGAAGGTTGAGGGTCCAAGTCCATTATCTAATCAAATTTTACGAAGAAAATATTTATTCCTCAAGAAAGGTAAAAAATAATATGCTAAAAGACTCGTGAAATGATTTCACTTTAGAGGAATGAACCTGGGTGAGAGGGTGGCACCAAATACCAGGCCATCCATGCTTCACTGCCTTATACGAGATGGAGAATTCAGCCGGATAATGATTTATCATTTCAGGCTTGATTTCAATCTGGTTGAAGATCTTCCCATTGTAAACTCCGATGATGCTTCCAATCATCTCAGGCACTATTATCACATTTCAAAGGTGGGTTTTTAACCTGCTCTGGCTTCTCAACGGGTGGTGACACCCTTTTCTGGTCCAAATCACAAGATTAATATCATAAATAAATCCCAGCACACAATATTTTCTTATTTGACAAAAATCCACTGGATTAAACATAGCAAAAATAAAAAAAGACTAATCCCCTTGAAGGATTTAACTTTGCAGCGTTTAGTACAATTGAAGTTAAAAAAAATAATAGATGACAAGCATTTAATGAAGAAGTTACGGTTTGACATAATACTGCTTACTTAAAATAGAAAATCTTACCGCCAAGGGCTTAAGCCCATGTGGTACCATCTCTTCCTTCCAAATGGAAGGTTGAGGGGCCAAGTCCACATTAATGTGTGTGTGATTTACCTATTGAAAAAATGAAAACAGGAGAAAATCTGAGTGTAAATGAATATTGTTCTTTTATAGAATGCTATCAGGATATACAATATTACCAAACTCATTTTACTTTGCCAGATGATATTCACATGCAACCACTGGCAGATTCAGCAATGTACTCTCTATAGAGGGGCGACTTTTGATTTGCAATAAAAATCTCACAATTTTTCAAACACAAAACCATCCATGCTACTTCACTAGCGTCAATGAAAAAGTTAATTAGGCTTCAAGTTTTGAGAATGTATATTTCGGCTGGGGGGGCTAAAGACAATAACCATGGTGAAGAACGAAAAGAGATTTGAAAACTGAGGGGGAGAACTGGAATTATCGAAGAATATAAATACAAAATCAAATTTTTAATTATATAATCAAAATGACCTTATGTAATATCTACAGTGGTAAAATCTTACCAGGTCAAAAATAGTAAACGGTAGTCACCTATATTGACTTGTTATTTTTTAATGAGTAGTCAACTAAGTTCACATACTTAATAAATATGCTTGAGAATCTTGTATCTAGTTGTGCTTTCTTAAAATTCTAACAGTTCGGAGTTTCCGGGCGTACATCAAGTATAGTTCACTTCACAATAAACTAAAACCATGACAGGTAGTGATAAAGTTCAAAGGCAATACAAGGAAGAAGCATTTCACTTAAAATGCATAAAAAGGATAAGAATACCTAAAATATATAATAAATACACCCAAAAAAAGGGTAAAAACAAACTATTTTTTTTTTAAATTACCTCCCTAAATTATTAAATTGGCAAAAGAACCCCTAAATTTACTCAAATTGTTACCTTGTTGCCAGTTTGTTGTTTAAAAAGAACAAGAAATGCAGTTAATATTATGACAAGTGGTTTCGCACATTTACTCAAATCACCTGCATGCATCACCCTTATGAGACCCAAAACATATGCTTGCATAACCAATTCAGTGTTGGAAAACATACCCCAAGAACTCTCCATAACCACCACCACAAGATCCATGACTACTAATCCAAAAATATTCACTCCCATTCCCCTCTTCAAAGTTGCCACTGGCCAATTCAACAAAGAGCCTTCGTCAAGCCACCAACCACATGTTACATGAACTCTTCAAAAGTACATGAAGTACCCATGTCAGGGACACAACACTAAAACAAGTGTATGGAACATAACAAGTGTACGGGATATGTGTCCGACACATTTGGTTGGACATATATACCTAAAAAGCATATTGAATCATTCAATTTGATTAGATTATTACTTCAAAACGAGTTAAATGTCAAATTTTAACACTGTTTAATAAAAATGTTATTTTACTCTAAGGCTCCGTTTGTTTCGACATAAAACATTTTCCGAAAAAGTGTTTGGTTGCATATATGATCGTGTAAAAAATTTTCCAAGTAAAATACTTTAAATCCTTTTTACAAAAATAACTTATGGATAAAAGTGCCATAAGTTGTTTTACATCTTTCGATCCATTAAGGAAGCAAATTGGCTCTGTTTCTCTCCCTCCTAGACCAATATGAAGCAAATTAGCTCTGTTTCTCTCTCAACTTCCATCCCTAGCAAATCCTTGAAATTGCATGACCTGTAAACAGATTACTCAATACAATTTGAACAATTGTTTTCATTTGCCTCCATTGGTCTATGAAATCGCATGATCGAAACCCTAATTTTCTCTCCTATATATGCACCTTCAACCATTGTATAGAAAATTTTGATCAGTGAAATCAGATGAAACAAAAGTACTCGTCAAGAGTATAACCACGCAATCTTCTAAGACTTCAGATCAGAAGTTTGATTCTTATGTGAAATTAATATCTTGTTACTACTGGACCTCTCAAAAGAATTAAAAAGTCAAAAATTAATGAAAGGACATCAACACATAAAGTGGAAAAGATTTGAAAGGTAAGAAAGGGATAACTTTTAGGGGAAAAAAATATTACAAAAAACACAACAGGAAGCAAAACTTAAATAACTTGTGCTCCAAAATGGCGGGTTGTACGAGGGACGGAGCAAAAGAAATTTTAGGAGAAATTAAGGGAAAGAAATTTATTAAAAAAGAAATATGGTGGTGGAATGATTAC